AACATATAAAATTATAAATTATTAAATTTACTTAATAATTCCTACATAAAGATTAGTTTCAAAATTATAATTTCATAACGTAGATAACCTGTAGCTTAAATCTTATCTAATTAAACTCTTTATCGAACTTCAATTCAATATCTTCTTCTTCATCTAATTCGTCATCCGTATTGTCCAATACAAAATCATCATTCTCGAGCTCTCTTATTTCATTTTGATCATTTCTTATACATACCTGATACTCAAATCAGTGCGGTGTGCGGAGAAATTAAGAGGTTTTGCGTCGTTCTTCCTAGTTCTCTGGAGTCTAGAATTTCTGAAGTTTGAAGGGTAGTGAGCTACTGAATCTGGGCTATGAGTTTTATTTTAAAAAAAAGGAAAACATCGGGCCCTCTTAAAATCTGGCCTAAGGCGGAGGCGCGCCTAGGCTTTGCCTAGGAACGTCTAGGCGAGCATTAAGTGGTCAACATTGTCGTTGACCACTTAATTCCCGCCTAGGCTCAAGGCGAAAGCGGGCCTAGGCGAGCATTAAGCAGTCGACATTGTCGTTGACCGTTTAATTCCTGCTTAAACTCAAAGCGTTTTCATCACGCTTCCCGCCCAGGCGACTTTTTAGAACACTGATCCTTACATTTCATTATTATTGTGGAAAACGTCCATAAATTTCATTTTTTGCCATTTTTACTCTTATTTCCACATTTTATTGAGAAAAATGTTATTTCATCAATTTTCTCAATTAAAAGCTATAAAACGACGAATATAATATTTTATTTAAATATAACAAAAAGAAAAAAAAAGAACTAATTGCAATCATAATCCCAATTTTTTTTAAAAATTGTAAACGAATCCCAAATAAATTATTAAAAGAGTAATTAGCACAAAATGTCCCTACATTTCTTTTTCTTTTTTTTTTTTTTTGTGAAAAACGTCAATATCTTTTATTTTTTGGCATTTTTACACCTAATTACACATTTTATTGCACAAACTATCATTTCTATCTATTTTTATCTTATTTGTTAATAAAAGCCATGGAATGACAAATATACATTCCTATTTAAATAAAAAGAAAAGAAAAATTAAAGATTTTTTTATTTCTAATTATTTAATAATTTATTTGGAACTCGTTTACACATTTTTTTTTGATTTCTAACTTTTAATAATTTATTTGAGACTCGTTTGTACCTTTTAAAAAAAATAAAAAGTTAATTTCTAATTTTTGAATAATTTATTTGAGACTCACTTGCACTTTTTGAAAAATTTTGAAACTGTGATTGCAATTAGTTCTTTATTTTTATTTTTTTATATATTTAAATAGGGATGTATATTTTTCATTTCACAACTTTTTTATTAAGAAATTGAATGAAAATGAATAGAAATGATAGTTTACGCAATCAAAAGTATAATTAATGGTGAAAATGTCAAAAAGTGAATGGCGTTGACACTTTTTATAATAATAATGAAAGATATGAATAATTTGTGCTAATTACCATTTTATCTATTTATTTGAAACTCGTTTGTAATTTTATAAAAAAATTAGGACAATGATTACAATCCGTGCTTTCTTTTTCTTTTTATTTTATTTAAATAAGATGGTGTATTTATCAATTTACATCTTTTAATTGAAAAAATGAATGTAAATGACTTTTGCGCAATAAAAAATAAAAATAATGGTGAAAATATCAAAAAATAAAAAATAAAATGTAAAAATGTTTTTCACAATAATAATAATAATAAATAAATAAATAAAAGCCCCTTAAGGCATAGCTCAATAGTGTAAAGAATATGAGTGGGGTAGTCTCAATTGAGCTAGTAGTCGAAACGTAAGGGTTCGATTCCTGCCTCTTATCAGGTATGGAATTGGACTCTTTGTGAGTACTGACATGATAACTTTTGTACCCTAATATGCCGAGGCACATCCGCGACTTTTTTTAATAATAATAAATAAAGCAACGCTACTGCTAGTTACTCCAACGAACTTCGTTTTCCCACTCGACGAAAGTGTCTCCCATCTCCAACCCTTTCAATAATTTTCTATTCATTATCAAGATTCAGTGATCACTGCTTTCATTTCCCATTCCTATGAATAGAATATCCTTGCTAAACTCCCATGGAATGTCGAAATATGTCTTCCATTTTCATGTTTTTGTTGATTTCATTCTTAATCTGGCTATTCCCACTCTCCAATGCCCGCATTTTCACTCTAGAAATGCACCACCGCTTCTCTGAACCAGTCAAGAAATGGTCCCACCTGACTGGAAATTATTTTCCGATCCGAAGTTGGCCGGAAAAGGGTAGTATCGAGTACTACGCGGAGTTGGCGCACCATGATCGCGTCCTGCGTGGCCGGAGGTTGTCGGATTTTAACGGCTCTCTATCTTTCTCCGATGGAAATTCAACTCTCCGTATCAGCTCTTTAGGATTGTAAGAATTATAAATGATTAATTTTGTTCTACTTATAATTGGTTCTTTCTGTATTTCTTGAATTGATTCTTTCTGTACTTCTTGAATTTTCTTGATTTATCTTTGAGGTTTGATTGAGAGTTGGTGTAGTTTGCATTACACGACAGTGACCTTGGGAACGCCGGAGATGAAATTTCTGGTGGCTCTTGATACTGGGAGTGATCTGTTTTGGGTGCCCTGTGCTTGTGGGAAATGTGCTTCTGGAGATGATTTACCTTATGATTCTGTATGTTCTTCTTATTCAGTTGTACTCATTGCCTTTAATTAATCTTGCTTCTCTTGAAATAATTTACCTTTTTTAAGTTGTTGGGAGAAATTTTATGATACCAAGTAAATACAAGTACTAGTTTTGTATGTGAACTGACAGTGAGTTCGAGCGAACTTGTTAAAGATCAAATGATACCAAATAAATACAAGTACTAGTTTTATAATGTGTTGTGTACTTTTATTGTGTGAGGATGTGAGAAATTGTGATTGTTTAGAGTCTTCAAAATGGTTTCATGGAGTTCTCGTCTTTTACATCATGCTAGCTTGGCTAGTGCAATGAGATGCAGATTCAGTGATGGTCAAGCTTTTAACGGGAGGTCTAATGGCTTATGAGAATGATGTAATTAAGGTTTCTTGTATAATTCATGGAAAATTTCTGTTTGGAGGTTAAATTATCTGGCGAATGTGTCGACCCTAACGGTATAATTAGTTAAATTATAAGTATTCTTGTTCATCAAATTAGTTCCTAGTATTGTGGTTAAATTCAAAATTTCCCGAAAATATAAACAAAAACTACAGAGATAAGTTAACATGCTAAGTTATGGTCCTGCTCATGATAGTGTACATAAATCCTAATAATTTCTCCAGAAACCGTCACCCTTTAACTTGCTGAGCAGCAGTGATATTAATTGTTCTTTTTAGTATTTTTGCTAATCTTTAAATTTAAATGTTTTGGCTTCCATGGCAGGATTTCGAGCTTACCATATACGATCCAAACAGATCATCAACAAGCAAAAATGTCACTTGTAACAATGACCTATGTCCTCATTACCATGGCTGCACTAGTGAATCTAGCCAGTGCCCTTATTCTGTCTCCTATGTCTCTTCCGAAACTTCAACTTCTGGAATTCTGGTGGAGGATGTTCTGCACTTAAGAACTGAAGACAATGATCTGGAATATATTAAGCCATACATCACATTTGGGTGAGTTTTAAAATTTTATGTTCTATCCCTGATGTGGTGATTTGGCTTCGCCTCGTTTATTCAACCCTTTTGGCTGTATGTCTTGCAGGTATGAAAATGTCTTATTCCTCTATTGAGATATATGGTTCTGATTCCTCGTATTTCTCTAATTTGATTATGCAGCTGTGGAAGGGTCCAAACCGGTTCATTCTTAGACATTGCAGCTCCGAACGGTTTATTTGGCCTTGGTTTCGAGAAAATATCAGTTCCTAGTATCTTGTCCAGGGATGGTTATATTGCTAATTCTTTCTCCATGTGTTTTGGGCATGATGGAACCGGGAGGATTAGCTTTGGCGATAAGGGTAGCCTTGACCAGGAAGAGACCCCGTTCAATATGAATCCGTACCAGTGAGTGTGAATTTTTAATTTTGTTTTCGAAACTAGATGTTTCTATGTTTTCGTTTAAAATCAAGTTTATTAGCTCTTCAATTCTATTTCCTTTTTTGCAGCCCAATCTATAATATAACTATCACTCAAATTCGTGTTGGAACTACTCTCCATGTTTCAGAGCTTACAGCACTTGTCGATTCTGGCACCTCCTTTACATATCTAGTCGACCCTTTCTATACAAAACTTTCAGACAGTGTAAGGACATAAAAAAATTGTATATTCATAATTTAGCCCCCATTATTTGATGTTATAATTTTTGGAATAGTATTTTTTTGAAGAATGTGTGGTTGTAAAATAAGGAAAAGTTTTTGGTTTATGTGTAATATTATTTTATTGGAGAATGTGTGGTTAAAAAGAAGAGAGAGAAAAATGTATTATAAATTAATGGGGCCAAACGGGGCTTAATGATTAATCTTATAAGTTGTTGATTTTTTTCTTGAATTTTCCATAGTTCCATTCACATGTACGGGACAAGAGACGCCCACCTGATCCAAGAATCCCTTTTAAGTACTGTTACATTATGAGGTCATACTATATTTTTCATTAATTTCTTTTCCAGTTTTCTTTTCGTTTTTCCCGGGATGTTAATTTCTACTCTCTCTTCTTGATGATCGACAGCCAGGATGCAAATACCAGTTTGATTCCTAGTATGAGCCTGACGATGAAGGGCGGAAGCCAAATGGTTATCTATGATCCAATAATTGTCATCTCTACACTGGTGTGGCTTCACAAAAATCGCCTATTTTACATTATTTTTTGTTCCGCTGATGTGAATTTTCTTTCACTTTATTCAACTTCTGTTCTTTTTACAATTTGCAGCATGAACTTTTATATTGCTTAGCTGTTATCAAGAGTGAAGAACTTAATATAATTGGACGTGAGTTGCCTGTTTGCTAGCAATATTTCTCGTTTTTCTTAACCTCTGTAGGTGGCTTCTTACTCAGACATTATTGTTTTTTCAGAAAATTTTATGACTGGCTACCGCATTGTGTTTGACCGAGAAAAACTTGTTCTTGGTTGGAAGAAGTATGATTGTGAGTTTTGTTTCAGTAAATCACTTAAATGTGTATTTGTTTATGATGGTATAAAGCATTGTTAGTTACTCAAATCAACCGTCACTCGTGCAGGTAATAATATGGACGGTTCAAATGCTTTGCTATCTACCGTTGATGTTGGCCAAGTTAGTCCGACTACTAAGAAATCAGAAGCCTCAAACCAGAATATCGGTCGAAGTTTAGATGCTATTTCATTTTACTGCATCAGTAGTTTTAAACTGATTCATTCTTGCTTATTATCTTTTCTCTTAATCTTTCTATTACTATAACCATTCTTTGATCCTCTTTTTTTCTTTGCTTTCCAGTTCTCACACAAAGCTAGTTAGTGATTATACATTAGTGTTTGGGAAATTCTCTCTTTTTTTGCAAGAGTGTATATTAGGTTCTGGCTATACATTTACAATGTATGGATGTGTACATAGGGCACAAGGTTCATATTTCCTTCATTTGTTACGTGTTTACGAGCTTGCAGCATGTTTGGTAAGTAGGATTGAATGATTGGACAAATTATGAAATAAGGGTACGTGACAAAATTTGTTGGTTGTCATGGCCGTGTACTTGTAGCGAAACCCAATTTAGAAATCATTTATAAATGTCCGAATATCATTAAAAACCCTCAAGTATTATTCACTTATCTATCATTCATTTGTATCTATTTATAAATTAAACCGTTTATAAATTCTTATTTGAATTTCTCCTTTTCTTTAAAAATTGTTAAGTTCTTTACTGTTTTAATTATTGATTGTGGCATTCAAATCACGGGATAATTGAACTTGATTGATTAATCATCTAGAAACAATTAAATAAGTGACTTATTGCTTTTAATTGTATAATTCCGCACATTTGGTCTAAATATTCTTCTAATTTAAATTGTCTAGATGAATCAGTCATTGTCTGTTCCTCCTTATTTTGATGGCAGTAATTATACATATTGGAATGTTAGAATGCGAGTTTTCCTTAAGTCTATGGATGAACGGGTTTGAGTGAGCGTTTCGAATGATTGGACCGCCCTATCTACCACAATTGTAGGTGTATTTACCCCTACTAATAATTCCACCTGGTCTAAGAAAGATTTAGATGTGTGTAATTGGAATAGTAAAGGGTTTCATGCTCTATTTATGGTTGTATCACCTAAAGAGTTTAGGCGTGCGTCGATGTGTGAGACTGTGAAAGAAGTTTGGGATATTCTTGAGACCAAACATGAGGGAACCAAGGATGTTAAGAACTCTAAATTACAGATGTTGACTACTAGATTTGAGGAAATTAAGATGAGAGATAATGAGTCTTTTGATTATTTTTATACTAAATTAAATAATATAGTCAACTTTAGCTTCAATTTAGGTGGGTGAATTCCAGAGGTTAAGATTATGAGAAAAATGATGAGATCCCTACCTGAGAAATTTAGATCTAAGATGACAGCTATTGAACAGAGTAAGGACCTAAATGCAATTAAAATTAAAGGACTCGTAGGATCTTTTCAAACATTTGATTTTGGTTTTGATAGTTTCCTTTTGCTTTTCACGTGGTATTGTGGTTTTCATGTGTTTCGGGAAGTAGATTGACAAAGCGTTGAAGAAAATTTTGGGAAGCTTAGTTTTGGATAGTTTTGAACTTATTCACTTTGAAATAAATATGATTTTGTCATAGAATGTCAAAGGGGGAAATTGTTAAGTCCAAATTATAAATAGTAATTTCTAAATTTGTAATTGCAAATTTTTTTAGTCAAAATCATGTCCTAATTGAATTGTATTATGAGTTTATCAAGTTGTAATGAAAACCAAAATAAGAGGTATTGAGTCTTAATTATAGCAAAAGAGTTGAAATTTGTAGTATAGGTCTTGAACGGTTCAAGATATCTAAGAAGATCACATATGATCATTACAATTAGAAGTCTAAAGAGTGTCAGATAATTGCACAAGTTATGCTCTAAATTATTAGACATAATTTGCAATGCATTTTTCACATAGAAAACATTGACATTTGGACGAGTCTATTTCTACAAGAATTGTAGACGCTTGAGTTAGCTTTTCAACGTATTTTGAATCAACCCAATCGAATATCGGGAGAGAAAGTTATAATGAAGATACTTATAACTGCTTAGATATCGCTCGCCTATCATTAGCCTAGAGCTCGAGCGACGTGATTATCTGTGAAACAGTAATTTTCGATTTTCAAGTTGATTTTAAGTCCATTTTCATCATAAACACTATCAATTATAAATATACACCATATGGAATGTCCAAAAGTGTGTTGAATTATATTTTTCCATAGATATCATTCATTTGGAGACCCAAAACACATTCATTGATTCAAAAATCATTTGAAGATCCAAAACACATTCATTGATTCAAATATTCAACCTTCATATTATTTGAGCCATAAATTCATCCAAATTTTAATTTGTTGACAAAATCATATTGTTTCACATTAAATCACCAATAAAAACACACAAAGATCGTTTGATCAAACACTAACCCGAAGATTGAAGAACAAGGAATCCACCGGAGATAAATCGATACCAAAGATCGGGATATGTTGCAGAAACACAAATTCACGAAGACTAAAGTGAGATATCAGGAGTCGAGATCGGTGTCAAGAACACGCAGTCTAGGAAGGCTAAGGTATAAACTAAGTGTCCGAATTTGTTTTGAAGGAGCACACCTCTAGTAGGATCAAGAGAAATTGGAGGAATTAAGGTCAAAAATTCTCTGGGGTAAACGAGTCTGAACCGTACTATAAGTTTGTTTCGATTTATAGTGGATTACTGACTGCAAAGTGTCCATAATTTTTACCCAATTGAAGTTTCTCCGTGATCATTTTTTTTGTATTCTTTACTGTTTTAATTATTGATCGTGGCATTCACACCATAAGGTAATTGAACTTGATTAACTAATTATTTAGAAATAATTAAAAAGTGACCGGTTGCTTTTAATTATTTAGCTAATTTAAAATATTCAAAAATAAATTACCAAGTCGAATTGTTATGTTTTTTAAGTTATACGGAATAGAAGCAAAATATATTTCATAAAATTGAAATGTCACACATATTATTCAAGATTTGTGCCTATGTACTAAAGGTCCGTTTGATTGGATTTATGTTTTTGTTTCTACTTTTTTTAAAAGAAATTTCTGATAAAACTATCATAATTGATGTTTGGAAACTAATTTTTAAAAGAGTTTACTTTTTTTTCGAAGAGTTGTAACAGTTGTTAGAGGAGTTCACATTGTAAGATGCTCTTTTAATTAGAACATTACTTTCATAAAATTAATCAAACAGATTTAAAAGTTGTTTTTGAATATTTAAGACTCATTTTGGCTTTTCAAAAATCACGTTAAGCAAGCCCTAAAAATTGTACATTTGAACGGAGGTCAAGTCTCTTCCAAGAGGTATCTTTTTAGTTGTTACGTTGAATGCGTGGATTTTAATTATACATTATAGCTTTATTTTTTACAATAATGTTTTGACCTTCACGCTAAGGTCGATTGAGATAGGCGTGCGGTGACGACTTCTTTGTTATATCGAAAATCTCTTATCCAATAAGTAAAAGTAACTCTTACTCAATACTAAAATTGTGTATGCTTTAGTTGCTTTCATTTTCATTTTTATGTCAACTTAAGGGTTTTAATCCAATAAAATATAACTTGAAGGAGTGCTCGTGTAATTTATTCAATTATTAAAATATGCTCCGTTGAGATTCTCGTTGATAATTTAAGGCGGGGGCACATGGTTTTGGTACGCCATTCGCGTGGCGCCCGGGCTCGTGCGGAGCACAAGTCCTTAGTGTTTGTGAACAAATAAATAAATGAATAAATGAATTTTTTTCCTAGTGTAGTTCCAACTGCTGATTCTCTTGAAAAAAATTCTCCGTTGAATTCATATCCCCGGAGCACCCAAATCTACTGTAATTCCATCCTTCTTTCACGTTGAATCAATTTTGAAAGGAGAAGAAATGGATCAATGGAAAACCAACGGCGATTCATCTGAAACCAGGTGGTTGTTTTTCTTTTTCTTTTTTTTTACTGTATATGCCTACACTAATGTAATGAAATATATTTAAATAACTAGATATAGTTGGATGTACTGTCTCCATTTCTTTTTCTGGGGTTTTTGTCGATAAATATTTAAGCATTGGATGTGGAGAAGGGAAATTATTCCATGCGAAGGTAGCTGTTCTTGAAATGTTGATAAATGTAAGTTAGAAAATTCATTTTCATGTGAGTATAGTTATGTTGTGTCAATTTAACGGAATGATCCAGTTGATTGAGCTGAGGTTCAATACGAGGGGAATACCAGTTTTGGTCTTTGTTTTCCCTTTTTCCTTTTATCTATCGTGTTTGTATAGTGGATTAAGCACTGGAATCAAAGTAGAGAATCAATTGGGGAGGATTGAAATTTTTTTAAGGTTAGTAGAATATTTTTATGATTCTTTAAGGAAGCACAATGGATGAATCATTATCCATAATGAAAGAAGCCTTTTTTCTTTTTCTTTTTTTGGGAGAGGGTACTTTGTAAATATTATGTGAATTATCAATCAGGTGGTTGATTTTTGAAACATAAGCAAAATAAGCACCTGATATGTTATCTAGTATGTGGTTGAGAATGCTCCATGCTATCGTCCATTAGTGTTTAATCCTTTAATCGATGTCGTGTTTGCAATATCGATTCGAGACTTATTTATGTTCTGGAGAACAAATGGAGAAGAGATTATCACAAATAGTAAGAAACTAACTAATTAAAGGTACATGTTTTTTTCCCCTCTTTTTTTGGTATATTATATAATCTTTGCAGTTAGAGTTCCCAATTGATTCAAGTGAAACGCTGTTTATAAAATCTGTACTATGGATTGACCCAATCCATTTCAAATTTACATATGAACCCGTAATTTGATGTGGTCTTATAATATAGAGGCTTTAATCATGATTAGAAATACAGTCTTTCCAAAAGGGATCTCGAAATTAATGAGATATGAATATGTCTATATTATTCTATTTATCGAGAAATATAAATGAAGGTACATGTTTAGCTTAGTTGGGAGATTCTACAAGTTTGACATGTCTTGCAAAATTAGGATTTTACCAAGGTTGATCACATACAACAAGGAATGATATAAAATCTTTATTTTTAAGCATAGGAGATTAGGAAATAAGGTGATTCAAATTCGTTCTGGTTTTGTTAGTGCAGATTGCATCAATCTTGACTGGTCCTGAATGACTGATGAAAAAAGAAGAATGATTGATGCATTGCATGTATTTTTTCTCGTTATTTTGACTGCGACAGCTCTCCTGTTGCTTTAAATCTTATTTCACGCTACATGGGGTTATTTGTAGATTTTTTCTTCCGCTTTGTGAGTAAAGAGGTCTCTTAATCTAGAAATAATCTTTCCTTTTCGTCATTAGATTTGTTAACTTTTTGGAATATATTCAGAGTCCCCTTTTCTTTTCTTTTCTTTTCTCTTCCTTTCTTTCCCGTTCATTGATAGTTAAAAGATTATACATTTATTGGCTACTGAAGATAAGATCAGTTGTGGGTACAACAGGAAATTTTGAAGATTTAAATTTCTGTATTGACATGTTTTCTCAATCTTTGGGGGCAAGGAGGAGCGGGGTAGATATTATAAGATAGAATGAAAGGCTTCTGACCTTGATATGTTTGTCTGGTTATGCATACGGTATTTGGCTTTCTTAAACCCTAATTCCAATGATTAGATTAATATTAAGTAACACGAAATCAGAAATACACGATAGCAAAAACACAGATGTATAGTGGTTCACGAAACGTGATAGCTACGTCCACTTGTTGTTGCAGATTTTTACTATGAAGAAGAAGGGTTACAGTGATGGTTTCTCGTCTCACATATATATGGAGTGATCAATTACCTCCGGAGGTAAATTCATAGGACCATAGTCAAGGGGGAGTGTATAGAATAATTTGGGTTCTTCCTGACTCAAGATGCCATGGAAGAATTGTAGGAGACGGGGAAGGAAAGACAGAGAATAGAGAGATACGGGAGAACATATCAATATTTCATTATCAAAGGTTGTCTGAATTACATCGCGTAAACCCCTTTATATAGGGTTTCAAAAGATCATATTCTAAGTAAGGAAATACTATAAAATCAAATCATAATTGTGTTTCCTAAGATAAGCTTCAAAATTGGAAACTAAATAAGATAATATCTCTTAAAGATTGCATCACTTTCCCTTCTTCGGATTTATGCATGGAAGTTTTTTGCAGTAAATTTGTCATGTTATAGTTTGTGCATTCTCTCCCAAATATATGGATGAATAATATACCTTCGAAGGTCAATCCATGGTCAAGGGGAAGTGTATAGAATAATTAGGGTGAATTCACTCCTACGGATTTATGCATGGAAGTTTTTTGCAGTAAATTGGTCATGTTATAGTTTGTTTTTAGTTTATCATGCATTTAATAAATCTAATTCGGCTTGTCCCTCTCTAACGTTGAATTCTTACAGACAAAGGGATGATGTGAAGGCTGATGATGCAAAATCTGCAAGAAACGTCCAAAAAGCAGATCGTGAGAAATTGAGAAGAGATAAGCTAAATGAGCAATTTCAGGAGCTAGGAAATATACTAGGTAGATAATGTGCATCTTTATTGCATTAATGGCTGCGAGTATTTCGAATTTTATATTAATCAACTCTATGAACCTGACGTTGGGAAATCTTACATGAGTAACTGCTCAAAATTGAGTAAATAAGGGGAAATTTCAGTGTTGGTTCCCATGCATGCTTTATGTGGCAAGTTGGTACCCAATCTGTAAATACTAAATAGGGACATTTGGATCCTAAATCTTTCAATTTTGTTGCACCACAAGTCCTGGTCCAGCGTTTCCCTTGAAATCTCTGCTAATAAGTCAAAATTTTTTTGTCAGAATGATAATTCTACTGATTTTCAATAACCCAAAAAAAAAAGGAAACCAGAAGTTCTGCAGTGTTCTCTGAATAATTTCTGTTGGTTTTTTATTTATTCATTCAGATTCAGCTAAGAATGAAAAGGCTTCCATACTTACTGATGCAATCCAAGTGCTCAAGGACTTGACTTCAGAAGTTAGCAAACTAAAGACAGAGCATACAGTACTTCGTGAAGAATCATGTGAGGTGATGATCCATTCACTTACTAAATTTTGGTCCGTGTGATTTTGGATTTTGAGGCTACTTTAGCCATTATTGGTTTTTCTTATTGAACAATTGTTTATCTTAAATAGCTGACACAGGAGAAGAACGACCTCAGAGAAGAGAGAGCGTCTCTGAAATCCGACGTTGAGAACCTCAATGCTCAGTATCAGCAAGGTTTAAGGTTTATGATTCCATGGGGTGCTGTTAATCCTTCGATCATCATGGCACCACCATTTTCATATCCAGTTGACCCTCTACCATTTCCTCCTGGTCCAATTCCCAGGCATCCAATAATTCCGCCATTTCCCAATCCCAATCCCATTTCATCATATATTCCATATCCAACTCACTTCATTCCCCAGCTCGACCAGACAACCACCTTAAATGCATCAACATCTTTTATCTCTAGCAGACAAGATTCCATAAGCAGGATATCCGATCAATGTAGAAGTAGCACCAGCCAGAAAGTTGTGGATTCTAACAATGTCGTAACAGATCTGGAACTTAAAATACCAGGATCAACAGTTCAGAAGGTTGCTGGTCAATCTTTAAACTTTAATATTGTGTAAGCTGAAGAATTATGTTGATTGAGGCATGATCATTATTTATCTGATGTAGGAGGTGTCGTCAGGAGAGAAGAATGGCAAGCAACCAATGAGTGCTGAGAAAAAGCTTTACAAATGAGAGTTGTTTGAATGGGTGCTCGTCCTCCCACAGTTTTCAGGTAGCTCTTCCAACAGGGAGGGTCTCATTTGATGAGGAAAATGATACAGAAAAATCCCAAAAGATGCATCCAACTATGTCGTTAACTTGTCTGTTGGGCAGGAGTTCGACTACCTTCCAAGTGTAACAGATTAATGCAGAATCACGAGTGTTCTCTGATTTTTATTGGGGTCTTACTTCTGTTTAGGCTTCTGGCAGAAATAGACATGAAGTTTGTTAGAGTTTAGTTCTGTGTAAAATTTCTGTGAATTTCTACTCTCACACACTCACCTGTTCATCTTAATTTAGAAGTCTGAAAAGTTTTTATTTTATTTTATTTTATTTTTTGCCAGGAGAGATCTGCAAATGCTTACAGCACAATATATTTTGTAGATTGATCTAGTGAATCTGCTTATTGGGGGTTCAAGGTTCAAATTTGACATCCATATTATAGCATAAGGTGTTTGAATTCGACATCCAAAACATTCTAAGAGGTGACAAGCAGGACTGAGGGGCCCCTTTCATATGGCCAAAACATTCTTTAAGGGAAAGAATTTTTTTTTCTTTATGCCATGTGTAAAGTACACGCTTATTTAACAGAATAAATGGAAAGAACCAAACGAAAAGGACTATTTGTGCTAAGAATAGTTGATTTGAAGGCTCAAATACCAAATGTGAAATGATATTGGTCCATTTGCATAATGTCGACAATTGATATGAATGTTTTGTTTCAATTACCCTATAAGTTATAATATTCATTTGAGTATTATATTTTTTTTCTTAATTTTTACTTTTTAAAGTCTAACAATAACTTTAAGTACATATCTTGAAGGAACTCGAATACTTTCTACGTTGAAAAGTAAAATTTTAGCATAAGAAAATGAAACCCAAAGAGAGGATTACTCATTTCTAGAGGCTGTCTGAGCGCACAGAAATTGTGTAGGAAAATCACTTTTTAAAACGTTGGAGGAGATCTGTAGGTCCCACTGCAGAGAGAAATGGTCAAATTTTGTAGGCTGCAACGGGAAGAAAATCAATTATTTGGCTGCAATAATCTGGGCCAGACAAGAATTTACTTTTAATTATTAAACCTTTGTTTGGTGAGGATTAAAATTAAAATTTTAGTAAATTTTGATAAAAATTGATGAAATGTATGATTAAAAAGTTGCGTGTTCCATAAAATATGTGATTTTGACTTTGATTTAGATTAAAATTTAGATTTTAATTTTTATCAAATAAGAATTAAGTAAAGCCCTATTTAATGCCCATTATTGAGAAAAAAAATAATTTTTGTAAGAGTAGATTTTTGAAGAATGTGGAATCGAGAAGTAGATAAAATTTTGAGTGTACGTAAAAAATATTTTATTGTAAAAATGTGTGGTTAAAAATAAATTTGAAAAAAATGAGTTTTCAAATAACTAGAATCAACAAAGGAGAGCGAAATGTTACAAAAATCACTAAACTTATACATTGGTCACAGTCTACTCACTGAATTATGAAAAACTTCAAAATGCTCATTGAACTTATCTCGTTTGCACTCGATCCATCACTTTCAAAAATTTGCTAACTTTTTTTATGACGTGGAGAACGATTTTCTTGCGTAACAATTAATAGCGTGCCACATCTGATTATCTAAGTTACATTTTAAAATATTATAAAACTTAAAAAAAAAAAAAAAACTGAAACCGTTTTCTCCAAATGACCCACAACCAACAACTTTCCAATTGACGCGCACAAACCAACAGCTTTCCCCAAACTTCTTCACGAACCCTACTCCTTTCTTCTTATTCTTCTTTTCCTCCATAAACCCTATTCCCCCAATTTGAAGCATCTGGGCAGCGAAGGCGATGAAGATGAACCGAAGCTCATCAAAATGGGCATTTTGGGGGCGGATGGTGGCTTGGGCACCGCAAAGCGTCCTGTACCATCCTTCAGTTGCCTGTTTCATTAGCCAATGCAATTGGAATTCCACCATCAAAGGCATAAGCAATGGAGTCCCTTTTCTGTGTTGGCCATATTTCCCGGATCAAAACTTTAACTAGAGCTACATTTGTGATTGTTTGAAGATTGGATTGAAATTGAATAGAGATAACAGTTGAATTATTAGACATGGAGAGATTAAAGACAAATTAGATCAACTTTTGGGTGATGAAAGATTTCAAGAATTGGCATAGGACCTCGAATCAAATATTTCTGTGTTTTCAAGAATTGGTTATATTTGTTTTTTTTTTTTTCCCATTTTTTCATCTTTTGTTATTTTTTTTTCTATATTCTCGAAAAAAAAAATTGTAATTAATAATTCTTAATCCCCGTTTGGTCCGAATTAAAATATGATTTTAATTTAAGTCAAAGTCAAATAATCAATATTAACCACATCTTTCATGGGTCCTACAACTTTTCAACCACACATTAAAAATTTCTATCACAATTTACTAAAAATCTAATTTTAATCCCCCACCAAACTTTTTTCCTTTTTTCATCATATTTTTATGAGAAAATCTATTTGCAATTAAAATTATATAATTTTACATAAAAAAGACTAATTTATAATTAAAATAAATATATTAATTTTTTGTTTAATCTTTTATCGTATGTCATATTGATAATACTAAATAAGAATTATTTTTCTATTTATTTTCTATGAAAGAATAATTTAATACTTCTTTTCTTTTAGAAAATATTTTTTATTATACAAGGAGGGAAAATGGAATTATGAGAATCATAATCTCGTATGTGAGAATTTCATATTTTTGTTCTATTTTAAGTGAGTTTTCAAAGGTCTTTTGAATTCTATGAAACTCTATAAAATTTTTAAAATGAAAATCTATTGAAAGTCTACGAAAGACTTGTATTAATTTCATACAAATATATAAAAAATTCACATAAGTTATCGCTTAGTTTTTTATTTTTTTTACACCAAATTCCCAATTAAGCTCCTATTTGGGCTCCATTTTAATGTAATTTTGGAAAAAATAATTTTTTGAAAAATACGTGGTTAAAAGATAAAAAAAATTTAAATTTATGTTTAATATTATTTTATAAAAAAATGTACAGATGAGTTTTAAAAAATGTATTTTGAAAATAACGTAACTACCAAACATACCCCTGAATTTACATTGAAAAAATTATAAGTAAATTTACACCTATTTAAGGATAAACGCACTGTGAAGAAAAAGAACGCGGGGTTATCTCGTGTAGAAGCAAAGAAGGAAAGAATTGTTGGAGAGAGGATTCGTCTCTCCGTATATGTGTTCATTCTGTTTGTGAAGAAGAAAATCTCATCCTCTCAACCCCGAATCGGATCTTCTGCGATCCATCGAAAATCTCTCTTCTTATAGTCTAATTTAGAAAGTTTTGATCGATTTGATTAGTATTTTTTGTTCTTCTTAGGGTTTTCCGTTTGTTCAATCGATCATATCATTATTTATTATTTTGGTTCTTTTTAGGGGTTTTCCGATTGATTAATCGATCGTAATTGCTTTTTTAAAAACAGGGAGGTGTTTTTTTGGTAACCTGAATTCCAATCTTTAGAGTTTTTTTGTTTATCATTTTAGGAAAATTTCGAAACCCTTATTTTGGAAAACTGAAATCCCCAAAAGAAAATTATAAATTTTGATGGCTACAGCAACTAACCCAATCCCTAGTTCTTCTTCGGCTCATCACTCCCCTAGGAGTCCCAATTCAAGGTGGGCCGGCTCCTCTTCCTGGACTCAGATTGTCCGGGACTGCGATTCGGATTATATCATCTCTTCCTCTTCCTCCACTGCGGCTGTGGCTGTAAACGGGATTTCTCTGCATTCTTCCTCCTTGTCTAGTGTTGTTGCTAGGGAGGCAAATGTGAATTCCTCTTCTTCTGATTCTTCCCCTTCAGGAGCTGCTTCTACACTGGCAGTGGTAGCTGGTTCTATGACTTGTCCTACGGTGGAGGGTGGTGCTGCTGCTTGTGCGGCTGAGACTCCACCAGAGAGCACTGAGAATGGTGGGGGAAGCAGAAGCGGAAGCAATGCTACTAAGAAACCGGCTTGGAATAAGCCTTCAAATGGTGCTACTGCAGAAATTAGCTCTGTAATGGGGGCGGTGTCTTGGCCTGCTCTCTCTGAATCCGCCCGTGCACCGACCAAGAAGTCATCTTCATCCGATTCTCTCAAAGCTCTGTCTGATGGAACAGTCTCTTTGCAGGTCTACTTTCTATGGATACAATTATTTATACATTCGTTTTACTTTTGATTATTATTTTTATTTATGTTCCAGGTCAAGTTCTCAATTTCTCCTCTATACACTATAAAATTTATTTGCAAGTATTTGTAAATCCTATGCTGCATTAATGTTAATGAATATTCGTATATGTTATATGCTGCAGTTTTATATGAAAGACCACGACAGTTGGTTTTTAGTTTTTGCTAGAGACATTGGAAAATTTGACTTCTCTATTTCATTTTGCATGTCTGTATGATAGGGCACTGGTGTAGGTTTTTCATCTTCCCATCAACAAGATACCAGTAGTAACACAAACCCTAATTTAACACCCCACAATGTTGGCCCTACCCGGCAAAGGTCTATGAAGCATGTTGGTGGGGGTATGAGCAGTAGTGATGGATCAGCTAATGAATATGTTTCTCAGTCACTACCACCAGAAGGTGCAACGGTGGAACTAGTCTCTAATAATTTGGGTAAGTCAGGTGGCTCTGCTGGGGAGTCTTCTGCGAGGGATAACACAAATAGGGAGGGTGGGCAAAGTGGAGGATCACATGGTGGGAATGTGCTACAACAGCAGCGGAATTCATTTAGAAGAGGCAGTGGCGGTCCACACCCTAGAGGAGATGTCTCCCATTTTCATGGCCGTGGTGGCAGGCGTGATCGGGAACGTGGGAATCAGGATTGGGATACTCATCGAAGTTTTGGCAGCAGAGAAGGCAATATGCCTCAGCAGAGAGTTGCTTCTAGGCCTTTCCTTCGTGGTCCAGTTCCTAGTACACCTTATATTCCCCCGCCTTTGGCTGTGAGGCCACCCTTTGGCACTCCGATGGTTTACACTGGTGACATATGTTACTTCTACAATTATTGTTTTCATACTTTTGTCCTTGTACTGATGTTCTGATATACTTGCAGAAGTGCGTTCTCCTGTATTTTATGTTACAGGCCCTCAATCAGATTCCCTCAGGATGCCTATGGTTCCAATTCGCCCTATGTTTTTTCCTTTTACAGATCCTCACTTGTCTAACAAGATAATGTATCAGATAGATTATTATTTTAGGTACCTAATTATGTGCTTAGTTTTTCTTATGAGGGAATCAGAAGTATATACTGTCTACCACCATTTAGACACTAACTTCTTGTTTTTTTTTATCCATTTATTATTGCAGTAATGAGAATTTAGTTAAAGATACCTTCTTGCGCCAGAACATGGATGAAGAGGGATGGGTTCCAATTCAGTTAATAGCAGGTTTTAAGAAAGTAAGTTGCCTAGAATGATCAGTGTCTTTGTGTTCATTCCTTGAAGTCAAATTGGTCTTTTGCCTGTCTTTTTGATACAATACTCCATAATAAATTCAATATGCATCATGCTTATAGATTTATTTGGCAATCCTAGATCCCTGCCCAATTTTCACAGTGATATTTAAGTTACGGTAGTAGAAGCCGATAGAGCTAGGTATATTTTACATCTGTACAGTTTTTTCCCAGAGGAAATTTCATTTTGTAGTTAAGGATCTTCTCGTTTTTCATTCGTTCTTTTTATTTTTTGAAAGTTCTATATGACAGGGGACATGAGCGCCTCTTGAGCAAAACATGCTTGTATCTTACTAAAAATGCTCATATACCCAGAATTTAATTAATTTTCCCCTAAATTCAGTAATATGTTTGTCACATTTCTTGCAACGGGGACTCTGTCTTGCTCCCTCTATGAGCCATTCACTTTGTAGGTTACCTCAAGACATTTTTTATTCTCCTTGAATTTTAATCTTGGTCCATGTCATTTACTGAAATTTTAGTAACACACTGTAGTTTTTGTGTGTTAGTGTAATTTCCAGATAGCTCACTAGGTGTCAGTATAATTTGCTCAAATATTTTTTATTTTTTTTTATCGTGTTTTGAGTTTATGGTTGTTCTCACCAGCAGTTGATATAGTATACAAGTTGAATGGCATTGTTTTTTTATACTTCATATATAGTCTTCAGGCTTTATCTATATTTGCACTTGTCTTTTTCATCTGTCTTTTTAACTGCGGCTGTGTTGTCTCTCCTCTTTGTTAAAATTGAACCTTTTAAGTTGTGATGCAATGTCTTTATCAATTCTAATGATGAGTCTGGCAGTGTTCCCTTGCCTTGAAATGTTGATAACTCGAAGGACGGAAACGTGTATTTCAGCAACTTCCAGTATTCTGACTCATGGGACTTTAATATTCGAAAATTGATAGTTTTGAGAAAGTTCTTGTAGAGCTCGTTTAGTGAAAAGCTTTGTTATCCCCATTTAGGTTCTTTCAGTATATGCACCTAATTATATCATAGAAACTCAAGAATCACTTAGTTCATCTGCCTCCTTTGAGAATGCATATATTTCTCATTTATTTCGTAGTATTTGAAGTTAATTAGATCTTTTTTCAAGACTTGATTGTATCTCAAGGTTTAACTTGTCCGGATGTATTGCTTAGGTGACAAGGAACCTATTTTGGGTATAGATAACTTCAGGTTGAATTTGATATCGATGTTTGACCAGTAGCTTAAACCATTTAACAAATCTATGAGACAATATTATTTTGTTGGACAGACTTGATGGACATTCCATTCTATTGTTCAACTTCTACGTAATTAAGCTAAGCACTTTGGTCTTCTCAACTCCTTCAATTCAATATTTTCCCTTCTAAATACACAGAAATAATTGGAGAACTGAACATCATGTTCTTACTCGGTGTTAGAAGAAGAGAGTGCAGTAAGAAGCTAAAGGACATGCCATCCATTTGAGATTGAATTAATCATACTGTGGGCTTGTTTCGGATAAGTTCAAGAAATGTAGAACCAACTTCTGTTAAGAGAGTGTCAAGAAGTAGCTTATAATATAGGAAGTTGGTTTTTTTTTGGAACTGTTGGAGAAACTGCTCTTTTGTGGTGAAAAGATGAAATTAGCGGCCTAGGGATTTTGACTTGAAAACAGCTGAAAATCACATTTCAATTGGGATGTTCTTAATCTCAATTGGTCAAGCTGGACTGGTGGGTGGCTCCATGGGGGAAAAAAACAAACTATAATCAGCTTACTCAAATTTTCCGTGGTCACCAAGCATTCAGCTATAGAGAAATTAGTTATTTACCAAGAGCCTGGGATAAAATGTTCACAATCTTGGCCAAAGGAAATGAGAGGTAGAGATTTAAAACAAGTCAAGTGCATTAAGGAGATATAATCTTTAGTTTTAATGATGAGGTAAAAAGGATGAGGGTTTTATTTAGACAGAAGTAATTCGATAGAAAATCGTGTGGATCTGCCAAATTATTGATGATAAACTTGTTACATATACTAAATGGATTTAGATACCCAAAGTGAGAGGCATTGAAGAGTGTTTAGATGGTAAAAGAAATTGGCTGTGAGTGAATAGTGTGATAGGGTTTTAAGGGAATCCGATAAATGTCAGTTATTTGGTCAATTAAATCCATTGATTGTTCTTTTTTAAATTAACACCTTCAATTTATAGTCCAGTCATCTGGTTGATTCTGTTTCCTGAAGATGCACCCCTTAAATAGCTTATTCATTCAGATGTAATGGTTTTTTTCTAATTTTTATGATGGGCTAGTTGATGCATGTCAGCTAAAACCTATGGAAAAAGACGAGTATGACATCTAATGAAGGTGGCCGAATATATTGAAACTACTAAGGAGGTCAATAATAAGATTAAGGGATAACTGCAGCAAAAGTCCCAAACCTTTGAAACATTAGCAAACTTTCCCCACACTTTTGATTTGTTGCAGCCGTCACCCCTAACCTTTCTAACCATTGCATGTGAGACCCTTTAGGATGGTTTCCATTCATTTTTCCTTCAGTTGACCCAAAAAATTAATTTTAACCATATTTTTAATCAATTAAAAGGGGGCAAAATGGTAAATGTCTATTAAAATAATTAAATAAAAGGATAAGTGAATAAAAAATTTAAGAAAGGAAAAGAAAAAGAAAAACGGCCGGCATCCTCCTTTGTGCAAGCATCCTCTGGGTATCTATTTAGGTCAAATTGGGGAAGACCCATATGTTCATTGGACGCATTATGAAGAGTAGGTGCTTGTGGTGGTTGTCTACAATTATTGGTCACACCACCGGTGTCAGAAAAGCCTTCTGAAAGTCACTCAGTGGCTGTGTTCGAAGATATAGTTTGCTGGTTTTGTTTCTGTGCGTTTAAGGATGATTGATGACCATGGGCGCCTTGATGTATATAATTACCTGGAATTTTGGGCATGACATGTGTGCTTTTTTTGGGGACTTGAGGTTTTGGCTCAATTTTTCGGAAAGTTTAGGTGGGTTCAAGGCAGGGCGTTGGGTGGAAGTTGTAGAGGGTGATGAGGGCTTTCTAGTGGCACGTATGTCTAGCGGTTTGGGTGGTGGCTGGTCGGAGTTAAAGTGAAGATGGCGTGGGGGTGGGTGGGCATATTTTCTTTTTTGTTTTTAGTTGAATTGTTATTTTAATTGTTAATAATATTTGGAAAAATATAAAATGCAAAGTTACCATTTTGCCATTACTAAAATTGGTCAAAATTAATTTTTTGGGTCAACGGACAGAAAAATGATTAAGGGCTCACATGCAATGGTTGGAATGGTTAGGAGTGCAGTTGCAACAAATCAAAGGTTTGGAGAAAGTCTGCTAATGTTTGAAAGGTTTGAGGCTTCTGCTGCAATTATCCCTAAGATTAATATATACATACTGAAAATTAGACTACAAGAGATGGAGTAGGTGGAGAAAGATGTTTGGACCTTTAGTCCTTGCAAGGTATTTATCAAAGACTCGAAACTTCAAACTATATTATAGACAATCGAATGGACTCCAAAACCATTACGAAATATAACCTATGGACTTCGAACATATTAAAATTTATACGTTACAACTCAATAACGGCAAGGTTCTATCATTCATTATTCCTTCCTCCCTTCATAAAGAGCTAAAGTTGTCTGATTTGTCCCATCGAAAGAGCTGTCATCATATAACCTATATGTGTACACACACACACACACACACTCTGATAGCAACTTGGCTGCCCCCATATCATCCTTCTACACTACCATACCTCCACCAATTATCTCTCTTCAAAGATAAGATTTGTTATTATCAATGTGTGGACCACCTTGGAGCAGCGTTCCAGCAGTCGCTCTGTCCTCCAGAAATTTATGTGAATTAGAATGTAACTATTTTAACTTGAGAAGAATTTATGGCTTCATATTATTTTAGACACTACTTTGCATTAGAAATTAAAAAGGCAATGAAGGACGTGTTCAGTAGAGATTAAAATCGGATTAAAATTGAAAAACTAACCGTTATTTTGACTTTTATTAGACGAGTGAGACCCAATAACGACTATATTTTCAATTCTAATTGGATTTTAAGCTTAGCCAACTCAGAAGCACGGACACGCTCCCGGATGCAACGTATCGGTGTCCGACACGTATCGAACACCGGTACGCGTCCGACACGTCGCCGACGCGTGTCGGAGATGAGAAAAGACAGGTGGCTTGAAGAAATCAGGAAGTGGGAGGAAGAAATGCCGGTGACCTTTGAATACCTGGGAAGAAATGCAAACGGTGATAGCTGGTATTGCCTGGGAAGAAGTCATAAAGAAGAAAAAAGAAAGAGAGAAAGGAGAAGGAAGTCATCTGGGAAAAGGAAAGGAGGAGATTGCTGAAAGAAAGGTCCAAAAACTGTCAGTGGAAGAAGTGAAAAGTCAAAAGGAAATGAAAAGTCTTTACCTAACCCTAAGTAATTTGAATTTTTAATTGTGGAACCACCTGAAAATTCATTTTAGCATATATGTAACGTTTTTTTTTACCAGCTGCTTTTTAAAGTCACAAGCCATAATATGAAATTATGGAAAAGATGGCAACAATTGATTGAGCATATATTATGGTGTAATTAAGAATATTCATAGGTCTAGTGTGTATATATAAGTGAGATCTATCGTCAAGACTTTAACTATTTTGAACGTGTTGAGAAAAACATAATTTACATATGATTATTATTTATTTTGGAAAAATCATATACTAGGAAAGTGCTACAATGCTTTTAAGAGTAAAAAGGAATTGAAGGAGATATATGACTAAGCGCTTAGAGTAACATGTAGTTGAGTAATAATAGAAAATTTTGGTTGCAACAGGATTCTGCCATAAATTTTTAGTTTTTATGTTTTAGTATAGTACAAGCTTGTGGACATAATTTAAGAAAAGTTTCTTGGGTGTATGCTAGCTGATGACATAGTTTTAGTAAATTAGTTTGGGAGGATGATGATATGTTAAAACTTTGGAGCAGTACTTTGAAATCTTAAAAATTTTAGATTAGGTAGAATAGACCTAAGGCAGAATATATAGAGCATTATTTTAGTCGTAGTAGGAATAAAGACGGATCTGTGCATATATGTAGTTAAGAATTGGGGTTCTATCTTAAAAAGTCAACCTTATTAAGAGGAGTAGTCCAAAATCTTTATTAATTGGTCTGTGGCAACATCATTTATCGATGTTGGATATATATCCATTAACACGCCCCTGCAAAATGGTGGCTCATTTGAGCAGACCAATCTTGAAATCCGCATGCTCATTTTAGAGTCTTAACGGACACGCCCCGCAAGATGGTGGCTCATTTGAGCAGACTAATCTTGAAATCCATATGCTCATTTTAGAGTTTTAATGAGATCGAGTCGCTCGTTGGAGTATAATGGGCTCTGATACCATGTTAAGAATTGGAGTTCCATCTTAAAAGGTCAACCTTATTAAGAGGAGTAGCCCAAGATCTTTATTAATTGGTCTGTGTCAACATCATTTATCGATGTTGGATATATGTCCCTTAACATATGTGTTTTTTAACACATATATTTGCGTATAGTTGCTGCATCTGAGGTCACCATTGTGATTATCTGGCAAAGTTGCTGAAGGGAGAGGGTTTCAAAGGGAACGGGGAAGGATGGTGTTAAGGTGATTTGTGTTGTATTGGCGGTGCAAGCATTTTAGAAGAGAACAAAATCGAGTGTGGTGAGCTAGTCAAAGAACAACTTCTGGACGGTTACAGCACATATCTTAATAAGGATGGTTTTAACTTTTATCTTTTCACAGCTTAATTGAATCATTGAGAATCTATAAGCTGCTGCTTATATTGAGCAATTGCAAACAAGCCCAATAAGTATTCATTGTCGTGTTCATGAACTCTATTTGCATCCATGACCAGTTCAAAAACCGTTGTGACATTCTTCACAACCCACACAAGAAGCAGTTGGACTGTTCTACATTTATAGCTGCTAATATCCTGTTTTCAAAATCTGCAATTAGTTAAATTGCAGATGCCAGGGTTTCCCGGACTGATTGCCGAATAATGAGCTCAGTGAGTGTAATATCCCAATGAAATTGTGCTCATGAAGTTAACTAGGATGGTTGCTTATTTTGTTGTTGTCTCTAACAATTACTCTTCGCGACTTAGAGAAATCACCTGTGTAAACCATTGTGAATATAGACGACATCTTCAATTGTCTTAGTTTCCGATTGGATATATTTGATGGTAGAGTTTAATAGTAATAATTAAGTTTGTTCTCATTTACATCTTGTCTGACCCTTCTGTTTTCTGGTTCTCACTTTCCAACTTTCCAAACCTCCTTCACTCTGTGTTATTGACTTGTTATGGTTTTTCCTTTCTATGATATTTTGATTATTGGGAGAAAGTACAGATAGCAATTCCTTTGAAGGATTTATCTAGTAAATGTAGTAACCATATGAGGGAGACTTTTATTTTTGTCAAAACACCATAAAACAAGCTTATGCCAAATGTCTTGTGTTATAGATAGGCTTTAAATTGATAAAAAATCACTAAAAGCTTATCTATCACACAAGACACATACCTATATGGTCTTCAATTTACTTTATGCATCTGATGTATGAAATCTGCAATTTCTCCATTTGAATCAAACCTGAGTCAGCATGCATAGTTCAGCTCTTTTTTAATCTATCTTTAATTTTACTCATGTTAAACTAAAATGTGCATAACTAAAAGTAAAACATTCTGAGGACATTGGAATTTGTCATTGCCTTAGAAAATGTCGATGTTTTAGTGGTTCAGATAAGTGAATCAAAATGTTGATGTCAACGTTAATTGGTCGTTGTTTATTGTCAGCGTCATCTAAAATGTATGCAAATTTTAGCAAATTCTTATTAGCCATTTTTACAGGTCATGGAGCTGACAGACAATATTCAACTTATACTGGAGGCTGTACAAGCTTCAAACATTGTGGAAGTAAAGGTTTGAAATTTGTTTGCAGAATTTCGTCAACTTCACTTTTACTAGAAAATACATTAAAACAGATCTCATTAGTCGTGAGTTTTTTTCTTATACTACTTTTGGCAAAATGAATAGTATCCTGTTGTTACTGGTTCTTTTAAGTGTTTTTATATAATATCCTGCTGATTCTGGTTCTTTTTATGATTGTTTTACATTACAGCACAATATAAAAGTATTGTATCCCAACTTCAATGGGTGATATTGTGGGTTCATGATTTGCCTTTGCGGTTCACTAACGTTCTCCCTTTGACTTGTAGGTCGATAAAGTGAGACGGAAATATGATTGGATGAAATGGATAATGCCACCCATTCAGATGTGAAAAATATTGTCATTTGGATTTTACCTGGGCGTGGTCTTATGTTATCGTGGTTTGGTCGTTGGCATGTGCTCACCAAGAATTTTGATCCTCAAATGCACCTTAGCTTTTCTTTCTCTTGTTTTCGTTTTTTGTCTGTGGCTACATGACCTGTTTCTGGTGGCTGTCATATGAACATGTTGATGGAATTGGGAAGGATTCTGTTGGATGTTGTTATGCTCGTTACTGTGTTCTACTGGATTTGTGGTTATCTGGTATTTTTTATTTTATGTTGCATTGCTTGCAATATCAAAGGTTACATTTTGTATGTATATCTTCCTCGCGGCTCCTGGAAATTTTTTATTCCATTAGTATTTGGTTGCTAAGCAATAAATCCGAGTATCATTGACCGTGCAATTGGCTTGTTTCTAGATTTAGTGGGAACTAGTGAAACTTGTAAACTGCATATTCACCGACACTAGTATAATTTTTTTTCAAATCTCAATAGAACTATAAATGAATTATAAAAAATCCAACTAGAACTCTATTTGCAAGCTAGAAGATATTCAAATCTCTTTGGTCATGAATCTTCAAAAAAAATTTCCATTTTCATATGAATTAGATTGGATTCGAAAACTTTGCAGGGAGATTTGTGGGTTTTCAACACCTCGAGGTTCCAAAATTCAAGTGGGAGAACGTCTAAAGGCAAAACTTCACAAAAGACATTGATCTAGATATTTTCTGTATCTGTAAGACGCCTTTATTTTCTATATCTATCTTGGCCTTAGAGGTTCAAACCATGATGTGTTTAACATGATCGTATGTTGAAGTGACATCACACGAACCTCTTCTGAGGTGTGTCAAACTATAAACCAGGCTCGACACTAGCCCTACAGTCATGGAGCCATTAATTTGCATGGACTTTTTGCAAGTCACATGCCTCTGCACTACCAAATCAAGTCCGATGCTTTCTTAAAAGAATCTAACAACAGACATTGTCAACAATGTCAAATTGAGTTGTCACTACAAATTATTTCTATTTCTTCTCAAAATTTCATTGGCAAATAGATCGACGATCATTTAAAGTCCAGATGAATAGCATTAGTGCAAATTACACAGAAACAAATATTTTAAATTAAAATTTCAAAAATCAGATTTAAAGTTTGTTTATACAAAAATCAGATGATAATTCAATAACAATAATATAAAATTAAATTAATTTATAAACAACCAACCTCATTTCCCCAAACCCTGTATTTTCACTCTCTCTCTTACCTCTCATCTCTCTTGTCGTTTTCACTTGCACTTGCACCGGCATGGTACCAACGCTCACAGCAACGAACATTGCTCGTCGTTGTAGAGCCGATCTGCTAGAGTTTTGCTTTGTTTGGCAGTTTGATTGCAGGACCGCCTCGATCTGATATGGAGTTTTGTTTTGTACGGTGGTTTGAGCGCCTCCTCGATCCGTTCTAATGGAGTGGGTGGTCTCAATGTGAGGGGTGATGACACTATCAGTGGCGCCGCATTATTACGAAATGGTGATCTCTGTGTGTATGATAGAAAAAAATGATGAAATCTATGGTGATGCGGTGGCGATATGTGCATTCGATGTTGTGCGATGGTGATTTGTAGCTGTGAGATTGCTGCACAGTGGTGCTGCGCAAAGAAGTTGTCCTGCAGATTGCGCCTGGAGCGGTCTAATTGACGGTTGCAGCAGCGTAAATCGGACTGCAACAACACAGATCATGATGATGATGAGGATTTTTTTTTGTTGTTGGATGGGTGTTGGTGGTTTCCATGTTTTAGTAGTTTTAGGATGGTTGTTGGTGGTGGTCCTGTGGTTTAATGGTGTTTGGGTGGTGGTGGTGACGTTGGCAGCTGTGTTTGAAATGATGATTTTGTTGTCGGGAGGTGGTGGTGATGGTTTCGACAGTGGTGGTTTCAACTGCAATGCAGTTGGTGGCAGTGGTGAAGTGGTGGTCACGAGTGTTGGTGGTGGTACATATGATTTGGTTGATTGTGACCAATAAATTGATTGATGTGTGACACCAATAAACAGTATGTGACCAATGAAATAAATAATTTGTAACTAATAAATAATGTGTAACCTAAAAGTTTGTTAACTTGTGAGCAATAATTTAATAATTTGTGATCAAGTAATTTGATTTTTTGTGACCATGAAATAAATTGTGATTCATAAAATTTATGATTTGTAACAAAAAAATAATGTGACCAATTAATTTATTTAATATTTGAGTTGAGAAATAAATTGTGACATGTATAATTTGTTGTTTGTGACTGAGCGTCTATAATTGTGACAATAAATTATATAATATTGTGACAATAAAATATTTAATTAATAAAATATTTTTAATTAATTATTTAATAAATAAAATTCAAATTAATAACTGATTTTTGAAAAAAAAAAATCTTGTTACTTAGATTTGAAATATGTCATACTTAATACGATTTTGCTACTTGTACATTTAGTTTGACATTATGGATGACATTCTCTGATAAAAAAAAAATAAATATACTTCTTCTTATTCTTTAGTCAAATCAAAGTTCTCTATTCGTGATATATGATAATTTTGATGTATTTCTCCTAATAAATGAAAATGACAATTATGCTCGTATTTATTTATATATCTTTTATCCAAACAATCGTTTAACATTATAATTTTATTTTCTAATTTATTAATTTTTTATTAATTCTGACTATATTTTCTGTTCAAAATATAGGCACAATTATATTTATATTATTTTAAAAAAATAATCAAGCACAGTATAAAATGATTTAATTTCTTTTTTTTTTCCGTCGCAATCAATTTCTAATCTTCGAATAGAAGTAACTAAAACTTCATAAATAGCAGGAATGCAAATATTAATGCAAGTATGTAACGTAAATAAGAAAGATCTTATAGTATTGAAGCAGAAGGTAAATGCAGATTAATATCAATGAGATTTTCCTCGAACTTGCTCTCATATGTTAGTATACTCAGATATAAGTGATCTATTAGAATACGCAGATATAAGTGATCGGTATTTTTTGAATTTAAGAAAGTTGGTTACGGTCCAACACGACTTCCTATACTTACTGATTTTTGTCTCTAAATCTTTTGTATATCTCACTGTGGATCACACAGAATCACAGCTTTCCTTTTAACTCCTAGTTATAACATTACCTTGAATGGTAACAGGGCTCTCATGGCTTTTTCTAACACGCCTCAAACGCTACACACGGCTAAACGCCAACAAGATACTTGCACTAACCCTCAAAATTTTCACCTTTGGAGTATAAGTAAGATAAGAGTTTTTGAGAAAATAATAAGGATAAAAGGACAATGTCTTCAAACAACTTTAATTTCAAAAACACATCACACTAATATCTCTTACATAAGAGTATACAATCATATTTTGGCTGCACTTTTGGTCCTTTTTCTAAAGAAATTAGAACTCCATAGAGATTACCTTATTACAAGCTTCACTTTAAAAACAGGAACTGAAATGGTTACCAGATTTGAAAAACTAGATAGAGAGATATGTTTTTGCTTAAGAATTCGCCGCCTTCTTCTGAGAATTAGCCTTCCTTTTATAGACTCGAAAAAGCTCTACAGCTATCCATCATTATTGTTGTGTTACTGTGTAAGATAGTGGGTATCTTACNATAACGAATTAAGTGACATAAATATCATGAGTGTAGAACACTCATCACTTCTACTGAGAATTAGTCTCAATTTATAGACTCGAAAAGCTCTACAACTGTCATGTATTATTGTTGTGTTACTGTGTAAGATAGTGGGTATCTTACTGTGGCCTAAGGTTTTCGTCTTATTATGGAAAATAATTGAGGTAAACCCACAGTTTTTTTTTATCAAAAATGTTTTTGATAAAGTAGTGATAAAGGGGTCCTCCACTTTTCCATATGTCCCTTACTTTTCCATATGAGACTCAAATCACTCATCCAGAAATTCCTCTAGATCAAGAGATATTGGTGAGCCATCTTCTTCATTACTATAGTATTCGCACTTTTGATTTGGATAACGTCAAAACTGTTTGCACGTCTCTTTTTTGTCTTCTGTGTTCCACTACAGTCTCCTCCAAAAATGTGATCACACCATGTATCCAGATAGTGCCAATCTTCTTGTTTAGTGGGTGCCACAGCTTTACAGTAAATCAAGTGGTCTTGTGATTCATACACCCAAATATTTTGATTTTCTTCAATAACTTTCTGGATATGCTCAAATTGCTC